AAAAAAACAACCAAAATATATGGCAAAAAAATATTTGCAACTTGAATGTTGGAGGAAAATCAGAAAAGATAACCATGAGAGAAAAAAAAATTAAATGGGAGAGAGAATTAACAATTTGAAAAGATAAATATGAGAGAGAATGATTTTTTTTTTCTAAAAAAAGGATATATAGAATTAATTGAAAAAGAGAGATAAAATAGGAAGAAAATTGGGACACATAAATTTTTTAAAATAATGACATTTTTGACATTATTGCTAATATTTATAAAGTATGAATATTCTTACTAAATATGTTATTTATTTTGACTAATTTACTAATTTTTCCTAAAGAAGAAAATTCAAAGAAATGACCTAGGAAGGCTCACTTGATTCTTGAAATGATACATTGAACTCCACCGACTCCCAATTTTTAAAATACAAAAATCATAACATGGAACCCATATATAAATCCAAATCTTCAACACTTCTCCCATCACCACCAATTTTTATCTCTTTTCCTCTATAGCATCTCACATTTTTTGTTTCTTGTAATAATTATTAACCCGAAAATGACGACGAAGAAAAGAGGAAAACAAATAATGTCAAGGCTTCACGTTGATCAACTTGACCAATTAAGGAATATATTTTCAAGATTTGACATGGACGATGATGGTAGCCTTACTCATTTAGAGCTAGCAGCACTATTACGTTCATTAGGGCTAAAACCCAATGGGGACCAAATTCATGTCCTGTTAGCCAAAATGGATTCTAATGGAAATGGGTCTGTTGAATTCGATGAACTTGTCAATGCAATTACGCCTGATTTGATTAATGAACAAGTTTTGGTGAGTCAGGGGCAGCTTTTAGAAGTTTTTCAATCGTTTGATCGCGATGGAAATGGGTACATTACGTTAGCGGAGCTGGCAGGATCAATGGCTAAAATGGGTCAGCCATTGTCGTATCGAGAACTAACTGAGATGATCAAAGAGGCTGATGTTGATGGAGATGGTGTTATTAGTTTTAATGAATTTGCAACTGTTATGGCCAGGTCTGCTGCAGACTTTCTTGGAGTTCCTATTTTGTAGTCTTAATGTCGATTTTGTTCAATATTCTTTTATCAATCAATCAGCTGTACAGATATTATAATTTTCTGCATATCAAAAATTTCACAAAACGTAGAGCATTCTAATTAATTCAATCCTAAACCCTAAACCTAAATCCTAAAAAATGAACTCCGATTAATTCAATCTTCATCTAAGACACAGAATTAGGTGACGAACTTCCGAATACTGGTTACCAATTAAAATAACCAAAGTCAGTTTCACAGTTGGCTAAAGCAGGTGATACAAAATTATTAGAAAATGATAACAGGTTGTCATGTTATAGAAAGACAGAATAAAAGCACAAGGGAATTCTGGGGGTCAATCATTATACTATCTTATTGCCTACTTTCGTGTAACGCATATCAAGTTTGAAAACAGATGGATTACTCCATAATCATCATTCCAAAGGCTCTTTCTTATCATTTAAAAAGATGTGAAAAATGCAGGCATCAGCTAAACAATCTAAACTTCAAATTGCATAAAGGAAAAGGAGTATTGAAAAAATGAAACAGATAAACAGCCTTAGATCGTGTATTATTTCTAATAGGGAACCACACCACAAACATACATAACGAATTCCCAAGACCTCAGAAAGACATTAGCTGGAATGCTTCGACATAAAATATATTTTAACGTAAAGCATGAAACAAAAATCAGACCGGCCATACCATTATCCAACTGCTACTACAATCAAAAGCTTGATCAGTGGAATAAGCTGGAAAACAGACCGAACCAATATCATATCCTGCAAGTCAAAAGGATGATCCTAGTGAGAACTTCAGAATCTGGCCTCTTGCTCCCATAGATTGACCAAAGAGAAAGAGCTCTACGCACAGCACTCAAAAGGGCACATAGTAGTAAACCCAAGGAGCATGAACTGTTCCACCAGTAACTAACCACTTATCTGAGAATTCATATATATTCAATCAGCAGTAGTTTCAAGTAACTCCTTAGATCCATTTCAAATAGGTCATATAGTAGAAATGTTTCAGTCCTTGTATTTACGCTTCTCTCTCTTGGCTTCTCTGCGGTCTTTTTCTGAACCATGACGGGAATGTCTACTAGGACTTCGTGAGTCTCTCCTTCTATGCTTATGGTGCTTTGAGTGCCTTTTACTACTACTACTCTTCTCCTGAGATGATTTTTTCTTCCTTGACCTTGAACGACGATCTTTGTAACCCTCAGATGAATCAGAAGAAGCATCTAGACTGCTGCCTCTGTGAGGCCGCTTTCGCTTTCTATCGGTTTCATCTTCTGATGAACTGCTGTTCTTATTTCGGTACTGATCTCCTTTTGCTTTTGCATCTATTCTACCTTCTGCTTCAAACTTATTCTTATCAATACCATTCCTGTAGCTTTCAGTTTCAGTTCCTCTGCCACCATTTTTCCGAGAGTTCATATCCACAGTTCCTTCTCTAGAAAATATACCTTGTTGAGAGATGTTCCGATTATTATTTCCTACTGCCAATATCGGATCTTGGTTAATGCTCTTTGCTCTCACATCTAAGGGAACACTGTCCTTTTTAGCTGGATTACTTGATTTGTTATCTGGGAGAGGCATATCGGTGGGAACCTCCAAACCTAGTTCTTTACCCAATGACTCCAAAAAGTCTCCAGCTATTAATCGATTTAAAGTTGTATTAACAGCTTCAACCTTCTTTTGTGAATCCTCTGTGACATCCTGATTGCTAGTTTCCGCTTCATCATCCGAATCATCAGAGAAAATAGCCTACATATGAATATTAACCAATACAAAGTTGTAAGCTTTTATGCAAATGAAACATAGCACATTAAAGAAATGAATTCATACTACTCATTCATCAATAGATTGTTATTAGAATATCTATCGAACACCATCCAACTGCCACAACAGGAAGCAAGTGAGCAAAAGTGAGGAAAAAATTCATCTCCTTAAAACAACACTTATACAGTTTGCATATTCAATTACTTTTTCAAATAGTTAACATCGATAAAAACTATCCCTCAATAGGTGGTGAGATGGCCTTTCAGGTGAGGCACTAAGAAACTAAACCAACTAACCCTAACACTTACTCAGGTAACGAGGTTATCCAAATTGATACATAAAAAATGGAAAATCAGAAAGTAACAAACCACTGCCACTGCACCCATCCATGAACTACAAATAGGGAAGGAGATAACCACCCCATCTATACATCAACCAAAAAGAATAAGAGAAGAAACCTTCCACACATCTATGCCTTTTGACCTCCGTAAAAGTACCAAGAGAAAAGAAACCTTCCATACATCTGTCCCTTTGACCTTCGTAAAAATACCAAGTAATTTAATGTACCAGTTTGTAACCTTGACATGACAAAGAACAATTAGAAGCAAAGCATAATAGAGATACTATTGCTTTCCTTGATACAAAAAGTGATCAATTAGAACAAAGATGGAGTAGCAAAATCTACATTATAAACATGATAGTCCAAATAAGAGAGAACTTAGCAAGAACACTCTCCTCTAATAAGGAATTGTATACTTTAACAACTGATTTGAACAATAAGAGACTAAATACCTTGTACAAATCAACAGGTCTTTCAATATTTTCAGGTTCTGCATCAACCTCAATTTCCTGGTCAGCTATTTCTTTTCCTTTTTCTATACGGCCTTCCTGGAGAGAGAATTGGCTCCTACCCCCAGAAACATCATCTTCAAGCTTTGGAGCTTTGACAGTCTCCGGCAAATATATAAGTGAGTCCAATTTGCTCCTCGCGCGTGGAGCTGGGGGTGGCTGCATAAATACAAGATGGAGCTCCGTCAACCTTGACGGATATGAAACAGAAGCAAAGAGAAATGACTGAACAAATGCATTAATGAACTTCAAAATTAGATAAATACGATTCACCTATTTATAGATGTCAAACACACCACATGTAACAAGGACAATCTCCAATTTAAGAACTTAACGCTTCTAATTTATACATGTGAGGAGTAGCCTCCTGTCTCTAATTTCTTTTTTGGTATACCAATCTGGCCCTTGTTTGTATAGATGATTGGGTGACTTTTGTAGAGAACCATATTGTGGTTTAGGTTTCTTAACATTTTGGTATACTACTTGCATATGGGACTTCAAATTATTTACCTTATCAAAAAAAGAGAACGTTAAACACTAATATTAACAATTAACAATGTAACAGGACCCTCAAACTCAAGGAAGGATCCCAAATTCGAATATGCTTATTCAGCTACAGCAACAATGTTAAAACACTTGAGAAAATAGTAAATTGGCCATACAGAAATCTTGTCAGACAAAGGCAGAAAGAGTCTCCAAAACAATGGCAGGACTACAGGCTAAAGAGAGGCATCATGCTGCCAGAACGGTCCAAGAGAAAACAGGCAGAGTCCTGTCTAAATTGTCATAGGAGAAAGGCATCGTCCTGCCAGATAATTCACTTAAAATAGGACTGACGCTGCGGCCAGTCACAATTCACTAAAAGAAACATGCATAACAAAACTAAACATAAAAAACTTTGACCGGTAGACAAAAGCTACTTGTGTTTCTACCAAAATCATAGATTTTTTATAACACATGAGACAATTACTAAGAGGACAATAACTAGCTTAAGAACTCAACAAATCTTACATCCTACACCAATGCTTAACACTCTAGTAGAAGAGCTAACCCAAGCTAAGTGACAAACAAGCGTCAAGAATATTCAAACTAACGTCTCGAGGTTCTAGAAAACCATGAAATTCCAAAATTTCCTGATCTGTTGCCTGTTAGGGTATACCCTCCCCCCCCCGGTCCTCTTCCCCTAAACAACTCTTTTTTATTTAATTTTCACTCATATTACCTAATTGTATTACTGTAGTTCGGGTTTTGATATTTCTCAGTGTTCTATTATTGTTTACAATCTATCCTAGCATGTTGTTTAGTGTAATTTTCAATCACGCACTATCTTGTTGTTGCTTGCTATAATTCTTCATTGTCTCCTTCTTTGTACCTGGATTTGCTGCACTTGAACTGAGGGCCTTTTCGCAACAGCCTCTCAACCTCCACGAGGTATTGGTAAGATCTGCAGACATTCTACCCACCCAGACCCCACGTGTGAGATTTCTGTCACTCATATTAGACCTCACGTGTGAGATTTCACTAGGTATGTTGTTGTTTCACTCATGTTACTGATTTTTTCTTACCATATTCTCTCCATTAAAACTGTTTTAAGATTTACAATGGTGATGACATCTCCTTCCCTATCCTAGTCCCCCGGTGCCACTTCCAACGTTGGCTCTAAAATTTTACTCATCCCTGTTAAAACCATACAGTCAAAAAGCATCTGCAGACTGCAAGGAGAGCTAAGAAAGTGTTAGTGGTGCAGTTGATCGTTGGAGAAATTTACATTCTTCAACAAGCAACACTTTGTCACTCATTCTTCCCCTCAGCCTTCGATTTCATACTAAAAGCCTGAAAACTCAAGAGAGAAAAAGGAGAACTTTGAAAACCCATTGAACACTATCATAATGACAGACTGGATAGCTTACTGATTCCAATAGAACCATTTTATTGGTCATCCCCAACTATGTTTGAATTGCACTCAACATTCTGCAACACACTGTAGCCCCCAACCACCCACAATCCAACCAAATCTCTCTCCGTCCCTCAAGCACATCATCTTAAGATCCAACCTTCAAGGTTGACACCACCCATCGATCTCCATCATTCCAAATCACCTGGTGCAAACTTGCCTGCCCTTATGTGTTCTCTTTCTCCCTTCTAATCAACTAAGAACCATATTCTCATGGTTTTTGAAGAAGGATCTTGTGCCATTCCTTTCAATCTGGCAAAGTAGATCGCCATAGACAAGAAAAGGTGATAAATTTGAAGCATAAATATGACACAAATATAGAAAAAATGTAACATCTCACGTCAGCTGCTGCTTATAACATGATTCAACAATCCTTTGGAGTGTGAATCATCAATAAGCAGAAAATGTGAGTGATATTGCTTGTATCTCTGAAGCATCTAGCAGCCTCGGTAGAAAATTTGATTCTAATAGCTAAGGCTTACCTCATCCCTATCCCCCCATCATCAATTGAATAATTCTTGGAT